TGACCTAGTCCCTTGTGAAGGGCCTTGGAAGGTACATTAACTCTAATCTTAGTACATATATTATTACTTTAAATAAACCACTGGACTTCTCACTTCATTGTAATGACTCCTACCTAGTAAATTTTTTTTATCTTAGAGCATAACTGCAAACAAGTCTATTAAATACCATGTGTATCTCCATATAGATAATTGCCAGTAGCTATGTCTAATGAGTTTTAAAACGTTTTCTCATTTGAATGATTAAAGAAGCACTATATTCAGGCCAGTGACATGGCAAGTGGCTCACAGGGAAGATTGTAGAATTGTGTTAGTCGGCCTTCTATTGCTGTAACAAAATACCTGAGCTAATCAAGTTATAAAGTCTCTGGTGGAATGGTGGATAGCAATGATGAGGAGTGGATGGTGGAGTGAAACCTGTTCACTTCACAGCCAGGAAGAAAAGCAGAGGAAGGAGAAGGGGCTGAGGTCCTACCATTCCCTTTGAAGGCCTGCCTTACTGACCTCAATACTCCCCATCAGGCTCTACCTCCTAAAGGTTCCATCCTTTCCTAATTGTATCACTCTGGGGACACATGAGCTGTTGGGGTACATTCTAACTCCAGACTATAGCACAGAGGTAACCTACCATCCAACACTTTTTAGGTACTTACAAAGGAATTGACATGGCAGAGTAGACAGTCAGATTTCAAGATTTTGAAAAGTCTGGGAAAATGGGCACCTGGAATGTAGTGTGCAGTTTACTGTCTGACAAGGTACAAGGCAACTGTGTAGACAGGAACAGAAACGCCAGTCATGAGCGAATGATTCCATTTGGAGTCTAATAAATAATTAGGGGACCATGTAGGCCAGCTCCTCATCTGCAGCTCTGAACAGGGAGCCGGCACAAGGTGGCTTTCCTGAGGAAACAACTTCTGGAGCCTCACAGTTCAAACAGGTAATGGCCGCCTTTTACAGGGCCTACTCAGATCCCATTTAGAATATTGTGCACAGGAGCACTTACCCACTAAAAATAGGCTGTCGAGTGTTGGGGAAAAGTGTGGAAGAGATGGCAGTGCTCACAGGAGGAGAGGGCGGTTGGGGGTGGTTTTGAGAGCTGAGATGTTAAGATGTGAAGAGAGGTGATTTAATCAAGGTATCTGAGTATCTGATGGGCTTGAACAATGAAGCTAGGGCAAGACCTATTCATGCTGTGAGGACAAAAGATGCTACAGTCTGTTAATTAAGGCTAAGGAGAGGAGAGTCAGTAGGCAAGACCTTTCTTTTGTAGGGTCATTGATAAGTGGAGGTAAAAAGATGAGGTACAGCTAAGAAAGGAGAGGAAATGTGGAACAGGCTTTGTTAAAGTCCCTAAGAGGCAGCAGCTCAGGAGGCTGCCTGCCTGGTCTCTCCCTCCCTCCACCCACAGAGCCATTTCCCAGCTTCTTGAACTCTGCGAGTTCCTGTCACCTCTGGTGTCCTGGAGGGAGGGACAGTCTCAGCAGGGAGGTAGAGTCTGTTCAAGGTCACCACACAAAGTACTTAGCAGGCAGGGAGATGTGGGGGAGGGGGGTTAAGTGTAGGTGTGTGTGTGTGTGTGTGTGTGTGTGTGTGTGTGTGTGCGCGCGCGCGCGCACATGTGTACACATGGGACCTGTGGAATAGGAATGCTTTAAGAGGAAGACTGGAAAAAGGTAGATTTTAGTAATATATTTCTAGTGTGACTTTCAAATGCTGGTTGCTTAGAAATGAATGGTAAATGGGCTAAAGAGAGGAAGGAGGGGGAAATGTAGTTATCAAAGTCCATGCAACAGTAGTTTTACAATAAAAATGTATTGAAAAAAATTCAATGCATATTGTGCAAAATTAAGAAAATTGGGATTGGGAGGGATTGGGGATGATGAAAGGGGTGGCACTGATCAAGATTCACTGTTTTCATATTCTACTTTGTTGAATGATAATGAATGTACAACGCCTTAAAGATAAAAATTAAAATAAAAAAACAAAAATGTGAGCAATAAAGAAATGGACTCATATCAACCATCTGATTAATTCATCTCTCTCTGTCATCTCTCTCTGTCACACACACACACACACACACACACACACACACACACACACACACACACACACACTCCTCAGGAGTGAATTAGTCTCTTCCCCTTCGGTGCCAGTGGTTTGTACTGGCACTCCAAGGTGAAAATAAAGAACAAAATATAGACAGCCTCGGAGCCAGCCTGGGCTGCCACCTCTCAGTATCACTGCACTCCGATGGCAGCTGTCTGCCTGTGTACCACCATGGCTCGCTTGCCACCACTAGTTCCCATATGGCTGCAAACGAGTCATTGCTCATGAGGCCTCAACTGCCATAGCAAAGTCTGATCCAAGTGGCTGCCACTGTTCTCATTGGCACAGCCAGGACCTTCCCTGCTCTCGTTCTTGAGGGGAAGAGAATAGATCCGGTGAATGGAGAAGATAAAGATCCAGAGGGCTTTTCTGAACCAGGAGAGGAACAGATACTGAAGACATGGCTGATTTGCAGAAAAACAAATAACAACAACTGAGTGGCTAATGATCAACCCCTTCCAGTGTGGAGAAAAGAGCTCCCAGATGTGGTGGATGGAGGTGCACAAAGGAAATATGCCCAGGTTTGAAGGACTGATGGTGCCGGTGCCGCCAAGGTCAGGAAAACAATCAGTAATCATATCACAGCCAAAATCAGCTGGGCCATTCACTGGGCTTGGAAACCGCCTCTCCAGTCTGACAACAGACAGGGTGGGTGGTGCTGGGCCAAGAATCAGCACTGAGGCCTGGCAGCACTTCGTGGCACTTGAGAAGAATGTGGCCACAGCTGCATGTGTACATGAACACATATATGGGTGCGCCTGCCAAGGTATGGGGCACCCTCAGCAGCGCCTTGACAAATGACCAGTGGTGTCTTTTTGCTCCTTATTTCTTTCTGACAGATGTCAATCAACATCTCTTGCTATCCAGGGCTGTCCTGTCTTGTGTGGCCATTTTGAATGTTCACTCTGAGATCAAATTAACTTTGTGAAATTATTGCTTTCATCAGTTAACAACAGCTGCGCCCTGACTGGTGGTCTCAAGCTCACTAATGCTAATGTTTCAAGGAGAGACAAGCCAACCAGAATTTTGAATTTGGTCAAATGTGAAAACATTTCTCTGTCTAGAGAAGATTCTTAGCTTATCATTCACTACCAAGTAGAATTTTTTAGCAGACAACTGATCTAGAACTAAAATGTTTTGGGTAAGACTGATAAAATCTTAGGTACAAAATAAGGAGCAAATAGTTTTGCTTGTGTGTATGTGTTTGGACTTGAACTCTGGGCCTGGCACTGTCCCTGAGCTTTTTTGCTTAAGGCTAATGCTCTACCACTTGAGCCACTGCTCCACTTTCAGACTTCTGGTGGCTAATTGGAGATAGGAGTCTCATTAACTTTCCTGCCCAGGATGCCTTCAAACTACAATCCTCAAAGCTCAACCTCCTTAGGAGCTAAGATTACAGGTGTAAGCCACCAGCTTCAAGCCTGGATTGAATTTAAAAATTTTTTAAATTAATATTTAATTTTAAAAAGTTAAAAATTAAAAAATTAAATACGTTTTTCAAATTAACATTAAGAGTAATATCAAATCAACAAAAGGTTTGAGGAGGGAAAGCCTATGACATTTTACCAAAATTTAGTTTATGTTTGAAAGTAAAAGCAATTTCAGAAATTAGATATTCCTTCTGGAAACAAACCCCAAATCCATTATTGATAATGATGCTAAGCAGAGCATGTGCTTATTAATAAGCACAAGACCCCAGGTTCAATCTGCATGTGTACATTTCCATGCACTGAAACAAAAATGGGTATCAGGGCTGGGAAGGTGACTCAGTGGTAGAGCACTTGCCTTGCATGCATGAGGCCCTGGGTTCGATTCCTCAGCACCACATAAGCAAAAAGAAAAAAAGCTGGAAGTGGCGCTGTGGCCCAAGTGGTAGAGTGCTAGCCTTGAGCTGAAGAGCTGAGGGACAGCGCCCAGGCCCAGAATTCAGGCCCCATGACCGGACCAAAAAAAAAAAAAGGGGGTATCAATGGAATTTTCTATAACACTATAAAAGGCAATCATAGCACACTTAATACTTGACACATTCCCTTTAAGAATGAGGCAAAGATGCCATCCCTAAATATTCCTACTGTATTTTACACTAAAAAATTTAGCCAGTGCGGTAGGACAAGAAAAATAAATAGAAATCACAAAGAATTGAAAAGAAGAAACAGAACGTCCCTTTTTTGCAGATGATACAGTTTACTCTATGTGGAAAATCTAGAAGACTCAATAAAAAATTATTTGAATTAGTGAAAGAGTTCAGTAAATTTGCATAGAACCACACCCCAAACTAAGCCATTTCTATATACTAGCAGCAATTGATGATGATATTTATAGTTACAATAGAAAGTAAAACACCTTTGGGTCCTATCAAACAAAAATTGTGCAAACTATTCACGGAAAAAATAAAAACCTTTACTGAAAGACATGAAAAATATTTAAATAAATCACTTACTACTGAGAGAAGGGTTTTGATTATCAAGTGCAGAAAATCTTTTTGGAATCTTGGCTAAAATCACTCACCTCTGCTTGCCCATGTTCTGGAAGGGAAAAGGCTGGGTTCACAAACTGCTTGTGTGGTGGTGTGGGATTCCCACTAGGTCCTTCCATATCTGGATCTCAAATGTTCCTTTGAGGTTCTGAACACTGCTTAACAGTCCCATGTGGAAAGGAATGTATCATGTCATCTCAGCCTTCCAGGCATGAAAGCTGTACACAGCTGTACTTCTCCACATGTCCCTTTTAGTCTGCAGCCAGTGTTAGTGGTCAGGTCTTTTTTGATTACATTAGAACAAAATCTGAACCACTGCAGCTTCTCACAGAGATTCTTGTTTTGCTCTATGGTGCATTATAACACGCATACCTCATTTAGGAGACCTATTTTCTGCAATCAAACACAAGATAGAACTTACCTGTAGAAATCTGAGATCAATTTGTCTTCGTAACGATCACTCAGATTGTTGAGGGTTTGCTCATGCTGGCCAAACAGGCGGAGGTAGTTGGAGACAGGAAAAGGTGTCTTAGAAAGACACGTGATAGTCTCTATTATTCTATATTTGTTAATGTGAATACGGAAGTATGTCCCTTCTTTTGCATTACCTGTTATTAGTTGTGAACCCTAGGAGCACAGCAAGAGAAAGATCAGAAAAACATTAGGAAACATTTCTAGTCTTTGGGAACTATATTAGAGTGACTTTTCACATCTAACAGACAGGTTATATCTTGTCATTTGTTCCAAATAACCGTCATAGATATTGACTACACTCACCGGAAGATTACAGTGTGTCACGCACCCCAGATGCAGACTTCATGACTAAATATTCCTCAAGATATTTTAAACCATGATTGCACTGTAATATTTCTTTTTTTAAAAAAATTTATTGTGACAATACCGTACAGAGGGATTATAATTACATGGGCAAGGTAATGAGTACATTCTTATCAAGCATTGCTGCCTCCTCCTTTGTTTGCCCTTCCATTCCTTCCTATCCCCCCCACCCCCTTCACCCCCCCCCCCGCCCAGCCAAAGGTGTAGTTGGTTTTTCAACATAACTACTTGTACATTGTTGCAATGGGTCCACCTGTATCCCTATTTAAATGGTTTGTTTTTGCCTTCCCCTCCACAAATTATACCAACATCAAATACAATGAAAGCAGGGGTTATACTGTGGAGGAGGGACATACAAAGCAACAAAGAAATAATCTTATAAATATGTTAGAAACAATCACAAGAAAGAAAAAAAAAACATTTGAATACTTATATTGGGGCTCATTTCGCCTAACAACTTATCTGACCTTTTCTGCTTGTCTCAGACATATACTAGTTATTGAAAATAAGGGAAACCATGGGACCTATGTTTCTTTGGGCCTGGCTTACTTCACTTAATATAATTTTTTCCAAGTCTTTCCATTTCCTAACAAATGGAGCAATGTCATTTTTTCTGATGGAGGCATAGAATTCCATTGTGTATATATACCACATTTTCTTGATCCATTCATCTACTGAGGGGCATCTGGATTGGTTCCATATCTTAGCTATGGTAAATAATGTTGTAATAAACATAGCTGTGCTGGTAGCTTTAGTATGGTCTTGTTTGTGATCATTTGGATAAATGCCCAAAAGTGGGATTGCTGGGTCATAGGGGAGCTCTATGTGGAGTCTTTTGAGGAACCTCCACACTGCTTTCCAAAGTGGTTGAGCAAGTTTACGCAACAATGCAGTAGGGTTCCCTTCTGTCCACATCCCCTCCAGCATCTGTTGTTATTAGAATTCTTGATTCTAGACATTCTAACTGGGGTTGTTTTGATTTGCATTTCTTTTATGGCTAGAGAGGTTGAGTATTTCTTCATGTGTCTATTGGCCATCTTTCTTTCCTCTTCAGAGAAGTTTCTCCTTAAGTCTTTAGCCCACTTGTTTATTGGGCAGTTGTTTCTTTGAGGATTTGTTCTTGGGGGATTTAATTTTCTGAGTTCCAGGTATATTTTAGATATGAGACTCTTGCTGATTCAAAACTTTGGCAAAGTAGCAGGGTATAAAATTAACCCTCAAAAATCAATGCCTTTTCTCTATGCCAACAATGAGAAAAGCATGGCTGAAATCAGGAAAACAACTCCATTTGTAATAGCCCCACAAAAAATAAAATACCTAGGAATTAACTTAACCAAAGAAGTGAAGGACCTCTATGATGAAAATTTTAAAAACCTGAAAAAGGAAATCAAAACAGAACGTAGAAAGTGGCAAAACCTCCCATGCTCCTGGATTAGAAGGATCAACATCGTCAAAATGGCAATACTTCCCAAGGCTATCTACAAATTCAATGCGATACCTATCAATATTCCAACCTCATTCTTCAAGGAAATAGAAGAAACAACCCAAAAATTCATATGGAACAATAAAAAACCCCGAATAGCAAAAACGATCCTTAACAGAAAGAATAGTGCTGGAGGAATATCAATACCAAATTTCAAACTCTACTACAAAGCCAGAGTAATAAAAACAGCTTGGTACTGGCACAAGAACAGACCTCAGGACCAATGGAATAGAATTAAAAACCAAGAAATGAACCTACCGACCTATAGACATCTAATCTTCGATAAGGGAGCTAAAAAATAGAATGGAAGAAAGACAGCCTCTTCAGTAAATGGTGCTGGCAAAACTGGTTAATCACTTGCAGAAAACTAAAGCTAGATCCTTATATATCACCCTGCACCAGAATCAACTCCAAATGGATCAAAGACCTCGGAGTCAAAGCAGACACTCTGAAAACATTACAGGATGGAATAGGAGAAACCCTAGGTCTCCTTGGCGTAGGCCGAAATTTTCTTAATGAAGACCCATAAACACAACAAATCAAAGAAAGGTTGGACAAATGGGATTGCATGAAACTGCAGAGCTTCTTCATGGCAAAGGACATAGCTAGCAAGATCAATAGAAAGCCCATAGATTAGGAAAAGATCTTTACCAGCCATACAATGGACAAAGGTTGCACTGTTATATTTCTAAATAAGCTCCTAAGATACAAGTCATCTTCTATAGCTCAATATCTCATACTGGTAGTAAGCAAATGGTTCATTCTTTTCTGTGAGGTGTTTAAGACTTAGTTTTTCACAGTACCACTTTGAGGGGGGAAAAAAGCATCCCAGTCAAAGTGATCACAAGCAATTTCGGTTGCTTTAAAGATACTTAAAAGACTAATTTGGGGAGAGGAAGGGTAATAACAAAATGCTGAAATAAGGATACAGGATGACCCATTGTAACAACAAGATGTACAAGACACTATGTTAAAAATAAATTTACAACTTGGGGGGGGGTGGGAAAGGGAGGAGTTGGGGAGATGGGGAGGAAAGGGATGGTAGGGAAAAACAAAGGAAAGTGTAACAATGCTCAATAGGAATGGACTCATTACCTTGCTCATGTAACTGTAACCCCTCTTTACAATAAAAAATATACTTAAAAAAAAAAAAAGAATACAGCAGGCGAATCCTTATGGCTGGGTGAGGTGAGATCCGCTCTTTGCAAAGGTTGGTTCTCACGAAGAAGGCTGGAGACCTTAGCAAACAGACACACCTGCTGTGCAGGTGAACTTTAACTGTGTAAATTGGTCAAGGGGTGGACCTGTGGTATTTTGGCTTTTAGAAGCTGACTAAAACTGGCATAAGGGTCCAGATGTCAAGGAAAGATATACTCTAATTCTATGTCATGGCTCCTTTTTCTATTTCAGCCCCAGGTGACTATCAAGCCGCCCATTGGAGATGTATTCCCCACTGGCTCAAGCAGCCATAGACCTCAGTAGACAAACATGAGTTTTGTTAGTGATGGCTGGACCTTCCCGTTGTGGATTCTGAATTTAGTACATCCAATAAAACTCTTCTGAGTGCATATAGATTCAAGCTTCCTACTTGGAACTTGAATGTAACATTTATAAATCAAGGCAAGTTAAATGGCTCTGATCACACATATTTAGCTCTGGATGTCACCTGGGGCTTTTTGTCTAAATAAGGACACATTGCTTAACTTTTTAGATTAATTTAGGCAACTGATAAGTGTTTGGGTACCACATGGCAGAGTCCCAAGGAGGACACAGCCAATTTTTGAGATACAAGATAAGATACACCAAGACTTTGTTAGGTAATGAAATTCTGTACAAATGAGAGACTAGGAATTTAGGAGTAGAGAAGAGAACAAATAGAACTCTGGAAAGTTTGGAGGATCATGCCTCAAAGAGGCAATTGGTCAAATATAATACAAGGCATTATGTCTGCAGTATACTTTATATTAGCAAAACAATATACAACAAGGAACAGTATCATTCTGGTTTTGGGTTATCAACATTTCAAAAAGCATTAATCATAATTTCTTAAGGTTGTAAGATTGTTGTTTCTCTAGAAAGAATGACATCACCCCATTTGTTAGGAAATGGAAAGACTTGGAAAAAATTATATTAAGTGAGGTAAGCCAGGCCCAAAGAAACATAGGTCCCATGGTTTCCCTTGTTATTTGAATATCTATAGTTTCTAATTTTAAATAATGACTATCACCTCTAAAATGATGGTTTAAGAAAGTTATTTTCAAATACTCTGGCTATACTGTTGAAAGTGACCAGACTTTCTTCTTGTTAATATTTTTTAAATGTTTTTATTGTAAAGATACTATAGAGAGGGGTTACAGTTACATGAAAAAGGTAATGAGTAAATTTCCTGTCGAGCATTGTTACCTCTCCTTTGTTTTTCCCCTACTATCCCTTCCCTCCCAATCTCCCTAACTCCTCCCTCCCCGGTCAAGTTGTAAAGTTCGTTTTCAACATAGTGTCTTGTACATCCTGTTGTTACAATGGATCAACCTGTATCCTTGTTTCAGCATTTTGTTATTTTCCTTTCCCTCCCCAAATTAGAAAAATGTATATATAAGATGCAGGGCACCAGAATCAAATACAGTGAAAAAGGGCTATACCATAGGGAGGAGAAGATAAAAAAGAAACAAAAAAAAACACATAATAAATTAAAAACAACAGCAACAAAGAAAAAAACCTCTTGTGTCCATTTCTTCTGGTTCATTTTGCTTAGCATCATCTTATATGGTCATATGTACATAACTTTTGATCTTTTCAGCTTTCCTGGTAAGATTATCCAAGATGTATACTAGTTATTGCAAATAAGGGAAACCATGGGACCTATGTTTCTTTGGGTCTGGCTTACTTCACAATATAATTTTTTCCAAGTCTTGCCATTTCCTTACAAATGGGGTGGTGTCATTCTCTCTAATGGAAGCATAAATTCCATTGTGTGTGTGTGTGTGTGTGTGTGTGTGTGTGTGTGTGTGTGTGTGTGTGTGTGTGTGTGTACCACATTTTCTTGATCCCTTCATCTACTGAGGGCCATCTGGGTTGGTTCCATATCTTAGTTATGGTGAATAATGCTGCGATAAACATGGTTGTGCTGGTAGCTTTAATATTGTCTTGTTTGATTGTTTGGGTAAATGCCCAAAAGTGGGATTTCTGGGTCATAGAGGAGCTCTACGTTTAGTCTTTTGAGGAAACTTCATAGTGCTTTCCAGAGTGGTTGAACAAGTTTACACTCCCAGCAACAATGCAGTAGGGTTCCCTTCTGTCCACATCCCCT